AGGAGATCTGAGCAGCGCACCTCGGCGTCTGCTGCAATCTAGGACAATTCTGTTTGCCCCACCATCGACGTGCTAGTTACACGTTCTTTTAGTGGTTACCCTAGAGAGTGCAGCGTGCGTCCTTATTAAAGATCGTTAGTACTTTCAACACTCACTGGCTTGCTCGGGGACCTTAACAGGCAAGCGGTCCACCTCTTCCTGCCTTGTGTGCTGTTGTCAGTTATCTTAATTCAAGTATATTTTCAACCCTGCAGGACGTTATTTTACACAGTCCACATCAGTTTCCTGTGACACACCAACTTTCCCTTCCTGGAGTTTTCTCTCAGGTGCATGGCCAGGCATTCACCTGGGCAGACTTCCTTTTACCAGGAAAGGTTGTTTTAGTGCAGATCTGCTAGTTTTGAAACCTTGCTGTTTTTGATTTTCTAAAACATTTTTATTTTGCCATAATTTTGGAGGATAATTTGTTGAGTATAGAATTCCAGGCTGGCCCTCCACTGTCTTCTGGCTTTCACGATTTCAATTGAAAAGTAACGTGTCTGTTAACAGCGATGCCTTTTTCTCAGCTGCTTTTAGGTTTTCTCCTTGGGTTTTGGTAGCTTCACTATGATGTTGATACATTACCCTCCTTGGCACTCAGTTTTTTGAATCTGTAGCTTAATGTCTTTTGGTTCATTTTGAAAGATTCTTGTTGTTGTCTCTTCTACCCCGTTCTTTCTCTCCTTCACTTCTGGGACTGCAAATACATGTTCCATTTTTACTGTGTCCTGTATTTCTCTTATGCTCTTTTCTATATTTTCCATTCTTTCCTCTATACTTCAGTCCGAATGTTTCCTATTGACCTATCTTAAGTTCATAAATCTTGTCTTCTGCTGTTTCATCTGCTTTTAAACTCATTTATTCGATTCCTAATTCCAATTATTGTATGTTTCAGTTGTAACATTTCCATCTGATTTTTGTGTGTGTAAATAAATTCTCCAATTGGTCATCTATTGTCTTGAATATATTAATCACATTTTAAAGTCTGATCTCTGATATTTGGCTCAATTGTGTTTTCTTCCAGTTCTCAATCACTTGGTACTGTCTTCCAGTGTGTCTAAAAATTTTTATTCAATGCCAACAGTATATGAAAAATGGTAGAGGCTTTGGATGGTATTTTTTTCCTTGAGAGGTGATTGGTTTCTTCTGGTAGATGAGACAGACCTATTTCTGGTTTGCTCTTACTCCAGGGTTTCCTTCAGAGGTTTCAGTGGCATGTTTACCAGAGTCCTTCCTCCTTGGTAGTCCCTAAACTGCAGATTCTGCCTCCCCGACACTGAGATGTCTAAAAACTTCTCTTGGCTTCTTAGCGTCTCAGCTGCTGTTTTCTGCTCAGCGTTTTGGCCTCTCCCCTGCACAGCTTAGGAATCACCAGTGACCTCAAGAGGAAAAGGAGTGACTACCAGGCTCACTTTGCTCCGGTTCTCTCTTCTCCAGGACCTTGGCTCTCCAGTCTTGGCTTCCTTCATAGCCCTTAACTCCAGTGTTTGTCTTCCCAGCTCTGTAAGACTGCTGGAAGCTGAACCTCTGCTTTCTGCTCGGTCTCGCACCACTTCATCAGCAAGAGCCACCAGGGGAAGGTGCCACTGACTAGCAGGTTTCCTTCAGTCCATTTCCTTTCTCTCTGGGATCTTGGACCTCTGAGTACTTCCAGCCTTGTTTGCTCTCTGGTGACTCCAGACAGCTAGTCTTAAAAAGCTCAACTTTTATTGCTGTTATTGGCAGGATGTTTAGTCTGATAAAATTACTCCTATAGTCGGGAACAAAAGTCCCTTTCCTTGCACTTCTAATAGTTATGCCGCCATGCCTACAGTTGCAGTCTCTTACCCCCACAGTGCTTTTAATTTTCAATTCTGCTTTGGCTGACAATGATACTCGTGTTTCTTGCTTGCACCCTATTTTTCTATTTATTTTTAGCCTTTGTCACTTTTGAGACTCTCATATACACATATTGCCAGGTTCTATTTTCAGCCCCGTCTCACCACCCGTTTTTTAAGAAGAGAAACAAGATTTAGTGTAACATCTTATACCCTTTTTTCTTGTTTTTCTTTGTTTGAGAAAGGGGAATTAGGGGAATCTATCTCCTCCCTTTTTTTTTTCCCTTTTTTGTCTTTTTTACTGACCGGTAACGGGATCGCAACCCTCGGTGTCGCGCCCGTACCGGGGACTGGCAACGGGATCACAACCCTCAGTGTTGCGCCCGCACCGCGCTCAACCAGTGAGTGGGAACCAGTCTCCACATGGGATCCGAACCCTCGGCGGGAGCGCCGCCGCGCTCCCCAGCGGCGCACTGGAGAGTGCGCCACCGGGCCGGCCCGAATCTATCTCCTCCTGATTCCAAAGTTCAGAAAACAAGTGAGAATTAGGACTTGGGAGACAAATGGAAAAAACTTTTATTAGAAAGTCTGACTTTAAATGTGCAGCTAAATGGGCTTGCTGACACCTGACTCCTGATACAGCCAGACTTGCATACCTAGCCACTGGCAGAACTGGACAACCATAGGTCTTGTGCAGAGGAATAGCTTACACCAGTGTCCCTTGGTGGGTAGCAGACCCAAGAGAGAGACAACATAAGTGGCTGAAGCAAAAGCACAGATCCTCTCCAGAATCTGTCAGCTAACTCACCCTAACCTCCTGTAAGGGTAAGTGAAGATGTAGGGGACCCAGGAGCATTCGTCTGGTATTAGATCCCACAGAGAAACACGGGGCCAGGAGGACTAGCAATGACTCCTAGTACTAGTCCATGGTTGGTTCCTTCCCCCCGTTAGACTTAACCCCTAGGCCATGGTCAACTGTGGGCATGGCTGTCTCCTAAAAGGGGAGCAGCAGCCTAGCTGGACAGCCCTGTCCCCTCCTTCACAGCACTCCCTCAGTACATCTGCTGTGACTTTATGCTTGTTCCTGGGCAGCACTGGGCAAATACAGACCTCCCCCTCCGTAAGGACATAAGCCTCTGCCATATGGAAGGGGGCAATCCAGAATGTACCCTCTCTGTGGGCAGGCAAATCCAGGCTGGATTCCAGCAGACGCTAGACCCAGCACACTCCCAAATGCACCTGCTATCTGGCCTCTTCCACTGGGGAGCAGTGAAAATTCCCTGATCGCCACGTGTGATGTGGGGAATGTGGTACCCCTCTAACGTTTATTTTCTCCTTCCCCTTATCTGTCTCCTAAAAATTAAGGTATAAATGAGTACAACAAAACACATAGGTTTGAAGCAGTTTAATGAGTTCCAACAAACACATCTGCTCTCGTAAGCACCATCACAAACAAGGTGTGGAGTGTCCCCCCCACCCCCATGCAGTTCCCTTGCACCCCTTTCTAGCCAGTCCCTCCCTCTTCCCCTTCAGGAGACATCATTCCGCTTTCCACCAGCACAAATCAGCCCGGCCAGTTCCAGAGCGTCACGTACAGACAGACGTGTGTACTCTTACGTGTCTTACTTCTCCCGCTCCCCACACTGAGATTGACACGTACTGCTGCATCCACCGTGGTTCATTTCCGCTACTGCCGAGTAGAATTCCACCGTACGAACACACCATTATATGCCTATCTATCTTCCTCTTGTTGGACATGCTTATTTTTCATTACCAACAAAGCGACGCTTGCAGGAATCTCTTGTGGATGTATGTTTTCACTACATGAGTATTTAGGAGTAGAACTGCACTCATAGGGAGTGCGCCTAATTAAAAAACAAAAAACTAACGAGACGCTTGCCCAACAGGTTTCCAAACTGGATATATCCTTTCAGACAGCAAGCGTGAGCTCTGGTGGCTCTACATTCTCATCAGTATTTGGCACTGTCAGTCTTTTTAATTTTAGCCATTCTAATAGATGGGAAATGTATTTTTCCTAGCAGTCCACAGCCTGCCTGTTTATTGTGAAGAGCAGAAAATTTTCCTTTTGATGGAAGCCCAATTTCTCTTCCATGGTTTGTGCTCTAAGAAACCTTTGCCCATCCCAAAGTTTAAACATCTTTGTTTTCTTCTAGAAGCTTCATTGTTTAAGCACTTATGTTTAGAGCTATGAACTCTTTTGGATTAATTTTTGTATACAGTGGTGGGCCAGATTTGGCATGTGGGATGTAGTTAACCCCTGAAGCAGAACAATTAAATCCATCTGATTGGAGTGAAGATGCTTGACTTTTCTGAAGGTAAAGGTTTTAAATAAAAGGGCAGGGTCAAAGTGGGGATCTAAAAACAAAAAGGCTAGCAGGGGACACTGTGGGGCTGAGAGTGAAGAGCCAACAGCTGACTTACAGTAAGTGTTTAATAAAGGTCAGCTACTTTAAGTCTATGAACAGGTTACTATCGCTTCCTCCATCTGACAGAAAAGGCAGCTGAGAAAAGAGCAGTGAACCGCCCAAGGCTGCCACCATTACGAGCAGCTGAGGGGGTCTGTGAACACGAGCTGCTGCTCCAGACCCATGCCCCTGACTATGCAGGGCACGTGCCCAGACTAGTAGAGAGGCAGTGCGGAAGACCTGCTAGGGAATAACAGCCAGGGGACACTTTTTTATGCAAACAGGTGGAGGGAGAAGAAAAATGAGTTGTAATATAGCATCACATTTTAAAAATCATTATGGAACACCTGAGAAATTTTATCACTGAAGTATTATGGATAGGGCTCAGAGCCAACAATTACAGGTTGGCGGATGCTACCCATGGAGGTAACAAGCTACAGAACCAGAGAAACCCTCTCAACACAGGAGCTGATGTCAATCCCCTTGTCAACGAAACTGTGCAGAGCATCCATGTGCCCGGTACCAGCTACCCCAGGCCCCTGGGTTACAGCCATGAGCAAGATGAGCCTGCGCACGCCTCGCTGACTCAGGCAGCCCCGTGTGCACACCTGAGTGCTTAGGGCAGGAAGTGCCGACCCATTAACCCTGTGGTGATGCGCTCCTTAGAGCCCCCACACCCTGTCTGGTTACCAAAGGCCAAGCAAGGTACACGAGAAGATTTCTAGAAACTGAGAATCAGGCTTTATTTTTGTTATCTTTAATACAGGTATTGTATCGCAGACATCTGTCAGTCTCACAATTCAGTACGGCCAATACACAGAAATTAAAGTAGAAAACTAGATGAGAGTGTGCTCCCACCTGTCCTCGGGCTGGCGCTCTCCAACCCCCAACAGACTTTATTCTTTCATCCTCATGTCCTCTCCCTGCCACATAAGACAAGTAAAATAAAATACCACCCCAAAGAAAAACCCCAGCTGCTCTTTCCCTAGCAGTAAGTGGGATGAAAGAAGACAGTGTTACCTTGGATGGGTGGAAAAGCCAACCAAACCCAAACCCTAGAGGCAGCGAGGGCCACCACTGCAGCTGAACCCTGGCTGTGGCCAGCAAGCTCACCACCCGGCGAGACAAGAGTGCGTCAACCCCAGCAATCCCCGAGGTCCCGTGCCACACAAACCAGGCATCCCTGAGACGAGTGGAGGAGCCCCGTCCTCTGGTGGCATCAGGTTCAAGAGGAGCATGCACGAGGACAGTCTCTTCTGAGTGGAGCTCACAACAGAAAGAGGTTCCTGAGGAGGCGTGTAAAGGTCAAGTAAGCCACCCTTGCCATCTGTCCCAGGGCTTCCTGCCGACTCCACTGTCCTTGGAGTGCTAGGTTCGCCTTGGGAAACCTCACGAAGAAGTTCTACACCAGTTAAAATGAAAAAGTAAATAAGAAATAAGGCATTAGACATTTGATTCTTTTATTTCCATATGCAATGTAATGTTGAGGCACGCTGCTTGGGATGCTATTTCTAAAAAAATTGTTGGCCATTTTTCAGAATATCCTTTTGGTTTTAAATACTGGTCAGGAAAAACAAATGATGTAAAAATATGTGAATAATTTTCTATTACAGAAATGAAAAACTGATTTGCATCTAAAAGTGCAAGAGGTGAAGTAATTTAACCCTTTCACCAGACGATATGGCAATATACAATATATTGCTTCAGCTGTTTGAGAAGGCTGTGATGTATTTTTATATTGACATAGAAAATTATAAATTACATTGAATTAGTATCCATAATCACTATTATATACACAAACCAGTTCTAAAAAAATACACTGGTTTAGAATTTCCGAGTGAAAACCTCACAAGGTACAGTAAAACAGTTAACATGCCTAGGTGCCAGGTTCTGATTTCTACTTTTAAAATACTAGCCTGTAAAATGAACGCACTCTAATCCCATTAGCAGCACGAGCATTTTTCATCTGACTTGCCTCATACGATTTAGGTATGTTAAGTATGCAGACTGCTCTGAAATGCTCATTGGTGATGCTTGTTAACAAGGTAAATTTTTTGGTGAATGGGTTAAAAGGCAGATGAACTACCAAAACAAAACAAAAAAACAAGAAGAAAAACCAAAATAAAAAACCCAAACCACAAGCCATATACACTCCAAATATTCTAGTGTTTCACCTGTAGGAATAATCATTTCAAGCAAACAAGACTTTAACAGAACATATGGCTTTACAATAATGACAATTTATCAACTAAGTTGTAGCAATAAATACTTAATCTCTACCAATAGACTTACATTTTTGATCCGTTTTAAACAATACAGAAAACAATTATCAATCAAAAACTGGTTATAAAAAGAACACCAAATATTCCTTATTCAAAATCACTTTTGTAAGTTAGAACCACCAAAATAACACTTAGAGGGCATTTCAATTCTACAGTTCCTTGCCAACCTGGAAGAAAAATGAATTCAGAATTTTGTACAAGGTGAAAAATGTATGAAAACTGCCTAATACTTTGGTCACACTAATAATTGTCAAATAGTTATGTTTCAAATACAATAGATCTGTGTATTCACTTTTATAAAACTATTCTTACAGCCATTTTACCTATAGTATTACTACTATTATTACATGGGTGGCAAGATCTTATTTCACAGGCTACCCATTATTTAGAACAATACAATATAAACATACGCAAAAATTCTTGGTATTTGTCAATGTGCAATATTTGTACACGTCTGAACTTCTCTGTACAACGTCTTAGAATCTAGTATATAAAGGTTGCTGGTCCTGATCTCTTGCAGAGTGAGTGCAGCAGTGACGGCTTGGTGGGCTCCAGGTGACCCCTCCAGAGCCCCTGAATGGTGGCAGTCTGCAGTCCTCAGTCAGCAGCAGCAGACATCACTTATCATACAGGGCCATTAACTGATGTGTCACTTGGCACACTTGGCTGGTCAGTCCTAAGGGGTAAGAGACAGACATTTGAGGCACCTGAAGCAGAAATGTGAGAAAGAAAATTAACTTCATTAAGCTTCCTGAGGGAAGGGAACATTTAATATTGTTTACCCAATGCCTAGCACAAGATCTGGAACTTAGTAGTTACTTAATGAAATGCTTCATAAATGAATTTAAAATTCCAGAAAAATCTGAGTAGCATCTAGGCTTCTTCATTGGTTAACTAACTAGGCATTTAGCAAAGGCTGCAGAAGAGCAGGTGCTCTGTGAAAACTACCCTACTCTCAGCTTCTTAGAAGCACAGGTATAGTCTAGTCAGTGGATTTTAACTGTTGCTCCCAGAGCCTTCAGGAGCTATTTGCTCATCCCTCTTTCAAAAAAGCTTTTTTCTGTCCCATAGATTGAAATCCACGTAACATTTCACTTGAAAAACAGGATTCTACTACTGCTACCGTGAAGGGGGGAGGGGGGGGCGGGGAGGAACAGTTTGCAAACAGGACAAAATGTTGAAAACGAAGGTGTATATCTGAACAATATGTCCCCCCTAAGTAAACATTAGACGCAAAATTGGGAGGGAAGAAGAGACGGGCTAGTCTATAAACAAAGCGGTGACCAATTATCTAAATTTTGCTTTCCTGACCAAATTATAACCTGAATGTATAAGATATTCTTGAAGGCTTTAGCAAAATTTTATAAAGTAGACTTGGAAAAGGATGCTAGATGTAACTGGGAAATATACAAGTACTTTTTAACTAGCATCCTAAGTGTATATAACTAGAATGCTGTCCATACCTACTACTGCTAGTTGTAACAGAGAACCAAAGGGTCAGCTCCACACACACACGGTCCACTCTACTTATATTTGACGGTGCCTCAATGTATCAAGGACACGGAACAGAGTCTGAACCACTCACAACTGGGTAAGCATCCTGCCTTTGCCATTTACAATCTGTGAGATCTTAAGTAAATTTCGTCATCTCTCTGTTCCGTTTTCTCCTCTGTAAAGGGGTACAATACTCCCTCACCCCATAGGGCTTAGTAAGTATATAATGTGTACAAAGTGCCTAGCACACTGGCTGGCACAGAGTACAGACTTGATAACCAGTAGTGTAAAGTAAGATGTTATGGCAATACAAGCCCTTAAGCGTGAAAGGAAACAGAACGTTGCCAATCCCCAGGACCACAATATTTGGTGATCTTCAATCTTCAACACTGCCATATGTTGCTTTAGAGCACAAATGTGATATATCAGAACACTTACCTTATGTCACCCTGCCACCAGCTCCAATGTCACCTTCTTGGAGAGGCTTTCCCTCGCCCTATCTCACACAGACTCCTGCCCCCCTATTCCTTGTTCAGTTTTATGGACTCTTCCCGAGCACTTCCTCCCACGCGCCCTAGGTGAGCAGGTCTCCGTTTGCTACTGCTTATCACTGGGCCTCGGCTAGTGGCTGCCACCCTCAAGTGTGTGTGCAAGGATGGCAGACGAAGGCACGGACACAGGTGATGCTCCCTCTTCCCTCACTGGCTCACCCCAGCTTCCTACACCATTCCAGTCCTGCCAAACGGAGAGGCAGGGCTCTCCATACCAGATGTTCCTAACCAGAGAGGAAAGCAAGTGGGTTCCCCTCAGGCAAATAATTCTTCTGCAGTCTAGAGAGCTAAGGACATGATCCCATTTATGTCAGAGAAACCAAAAATATACTCCTGAAGCAACTACAACAAATCGGGATAGACCTGGATTATCCTGCCTTCCAACAAGCCCTCAATATAAAGGATATTTACAGGTGGAAATGAGGGAGATGATATAATTGACTGGGAATCAGACCTACAAAGTACCATTTAAAACACACACTGAAGGGCCAGCCCGGTGGCGCACTGGAGAGTGCGCCGCTTGGGAGCGCGGCGGCGCTCCTGCTGAGGGTTCAGATCCCATGTGGAGACCGGTTCCTGCTCGCTGGCTGAGCGCGGTGCGGGCGCAACACTGAGGGTTGCGATCCCATTGCCGGTCAGTAAAAAAGACAAAAAAAAAAAAACAAAAAAAAAAAACACACACACTGAAACCCCCTGGAAGGAGAGACTCACCCAAACCCTCACAAGCACAGTTGGGGCTGGATTCCCCAGTGCTGGAGTGTCACCCCACCTCTGACCCCTGAAGCCTTCATGAGAGCCAACATGCTCAAATAGTTCTTATACTTAATTTGTTTTATGTGCAGATTAAGAAAAAAAATTAATTCCAAAAACAAACCCTTCATTTTGGCTGTAATTTCCACGACAGGAATAAAAACAGATTTTGCTACCCAATGAACAGAGGTCTTCCCATCAGCGAACAGAGAGTGCCCCCTGCTGGTTCCCACTGGTTATGTTCCCATAGAATGCCAAGATTTTGGGGGATGGGGGGCTGGCCTGTGTGGGAATCCTATCCCTTGACCTTGGCAGTGTTAGCACCACACTCCAGCAAGTAAGCAACCAGCCAGCCCCGAATGGCTAAAAGATTTTGACAGGAGTCAGGCCAGGGGGAAAGTACAACTTCTCTGAAATAGCTTTTAAAGGTCACTTTATTCCTTATGGAAGGAATATACAATCTTAGATATATTTAATCAAAAAAATTAACTCTGGGAAGTGCTGAACAAAGTTCCTGGTGGTCCAGGGGCACATCCTCATCTTCTGGCGTGAGCTCCGGTGTAATCCGAGGCCACCCTCGCTCTACCTGCGAGGCTGTGTGTGCGGGCTGGCGGGCCCTCGGCGGCTGAGGCTTTGGCTTGGCCTATCCCTTCAGACCACTGGCTCAGTCTAAGCAAAAGGTGACTAGAAAGAAAACATCACATTCCAAATCACACGGCTCTGGTAGTGGGATTTTCACATTTAAGACAAGATAAATATTTTGAAAAAACAAAACCACATAGGGAATCGTTTAAGAGTTGAGAATATTTCGCTACATATATGAAAGGGCCTCCAGGCAAGTTCTCCCTGTGTGTCTCACAGGCACGACCACGGGAGAACAGGCACCAAGAACAGCTTGTGTCTGGCAGCTGGGCAACTTTATAAGGGCCAATGAAGATTCCACCCTGCAGGGGCTCAATGTCATCCCTGACTTAGCGCCTCACACAAAAAAGGGAGGTATGTCAGCACGACAGACTCTTCCATTCCCACTAATTTCTGAAAGAGCCAGTGATGTTACCGAATCTCTAAAAACCAGTTAGTTTTTGGCTTCTGGGGTAGAGCTCAATCACCCTGATTACCATAAAGCCTGAGATAATGCTACTGTGCCAGTAAGCTGCTGAACAATGAACAATCCTTCTAGCCCTAACCCTCCCACCACAGGCTGACTCCCCTCCCAAGAGACAACAGGCAAAGCCAGCACAGGGCCTGGGCAGGTTTGAGGACATAGGTCGTTACCTCTGCTCTGGACTACTGCTGGGGGGCCGGGGTACTGCACACTTCACCTCTGCCGTCTCAGGGGTCTCTCCCACGTCTTTACAAGCAGCATCTTGAGAGGTAGAGAGTTTGCCTTCCTCACTGCAAGAAAGAGGACAACAGGCACATTATACATCCTAGTGCCAGCATCTAGGAGCCAAAGGTTGAGGTCACATGCAAATGGCTCTGAAGTCGTGACTGCCATGGAGGCAAAGCCCTGGGGCTGAGCATGCTCAGGGTGGAAGGATCACAGGACCACAGACACTAACTGGGGGAGGACAAAAGGAAGGATCACACACAGATGGGAACTGAAAGAGGGATATGTAATGTAGCTGGTATCTGATAAAGAACGGTCCCATATTACTGTACATACCGATAGGATTTCAACACTCTGAAGCCAAGTGTGCAAAACAGAAAAAGAAATGTACAAGAGTTTCAGAATACTCCTAGAAATGAGGAATTTGGGGGAAAAATATGTCCACGACTGCACATAAGCAAAACTGAAGACTCGGTGAAGATATCAAATGGACCTGCTTGAAGGAATGAGCCTTTAGTTAAAGCATTTTACTTTCAGGCCTGCGACCACCATTAAAACAGTGGGCCAGAAAGACTTCCACCAGCTTGCTGGGTGGAAACCTTAGTCAATGTGGGGTGGGTGCCACAGTGCCTGAACCATATTAAGGACTTCTCGAGTTGCCCTCTACCAATGTATAAGAAATACAAATACTATGAAGGAAAAGAGAGAACCAAGGACAGCTGCCAGAGCAGGTAAAGACTGATCCTAAGTGCAGAGAGAACTTGGGGGAAATGAAACATGGAAGGATTATTTTTTTCCCCCTTAGATGGCTCTTGATGGAAATAAAGAAGTAGCAGATGCTTTCCTCGACTCTGTGGACTGGAAATTTAGACTTTTGCCTATTGTCTGAAATTCCCATTTTTACACAATCGAGATAGCACTAATGTGAGTTAAAGTGCAGCTAGAGGTTCCCTTTGGGAAGTTCCATCACTCTTAGAGCCGAGTACTGTCCTGAATTTGCTCATGAAAAACCTAACTTTAAGATGACTTCTTGGGTGCCTTCCAGATGGTTCCAGACAATTTATAAGTAGGAAAATTAATTAAAATTTAATGACTTGGTGATAAGTATGAATTACCTGGTTCGTTTTTCTTTTTAAACTTACTCCACTTTACCTCATTCTCTATTCTCTGCCCTCAAAGCAATGTGTTTATCATTTTGATTCCTGTAAAATGTATAGTCATTACATGTGTATACTCTGAGTCTCGTAACTGGCACTGAATTGTAAATTGCAGTTGATAAATTACATTTATCTCTTGACTCAGCATGTCTGGAAGATGCATCTGCTCCTACTGACTGCGGCACAGGATCCACGGTGTGCACCTACCACACTCTGCCTGGCTTCTCACAGCAACAAACACCAAAACTGCCCTCCACCTCCACACCTCCATGCACAATGCTGCAAGGAATGTCACTGTCCATGGTTCCTAACAGACCTGTTTAGGCATTTCTCAGGACTCCACACCCAGAAGTGGAAAATTCTGGGCCACCCTTCTATCTATGAAGAACCCCACACTACTATCCAGAATGACTGCCCCAGTTTGCATTCCCCACTAGCAGGCCACCAGGGTCACTGTAGCCCTACAGCCCCCCACATTCAGCATTATCCACCTTTCTACTTTCTGTTAGTCTAATGAGAAGTATAAAGTGATATGTCATCACTTATATCTCTCTGGTAATGAATGACTTTTGAACATTTCTTCATTTTCTTTTTAGCCTTTCAAGTTTCCTTGTCTGTAAATTGATATCTCTGGCCCATTATCTGATTTGGGGTTTTTCTTATTGGTTTATAGAAATCCTTGAATATTAAATATCAGTCTGTTGTTGACTTAGACATAATTTTTTTCAATTTGCCATCTGCTTCTTAATCTTGTCTACAGTATTTCATCAACCAGGAATTCTTAACTTTGATACAGTCTAATTAAATGCTTGCATTATAGTTTCTGCTTTTGAAGGTATTGTTTTTTGTTTTGTTTTTTAAAAGAAGTCCTTTTCTGCCTATAGGTTTGAAGGATATTCTACATTTTCTTCTACTAACTACCACGGATTTTGGCCACATCACATAACTCTGGTGTCTTAGTTTCCTCATCTGGAAAGTAGGGAAGATAATTACAGTATCTATCTCACAGGGTTCCTAAGAGAAATAAATGAGCTAATACACATGAAGCATTTTGAGAACAGGCAGGGCCTGGCACACAGGAAACTCCGTATATTTTTGCTTTTATTATTTTTAATCCATCTGGAGTTGCTTTAGGATGTAGATTAGGGAAGATCTAGTTTGACTTTTTTCTTTGTAGTGAGCCAGCCTCCTGCCAACCACCCGCTAAGCCACCCCATTATGAATCTCTCTTCCCATCACATTGGCCCCTGGACCTATTTGGACGCTAATATCATACTATTTTAATCACTGACTTTGCAGTATGACTGAATACCTGGCAGGGCAAGTCTCTTATTTAATTTCCCCTTTTGGTTATCTAAACAATTTGAGAACCTTTATTTTTCCACATATATTTTACAGTATGTTTATCAAATTCCTTTTAAAATTCTAACTGAAATTTTGACTGGGATTGCATTAAACTTAAAGACTAATTTGATGATGACAGACATCTTTACAGCGCTAAGCGTCCCATTGTCTCCGGTTGTACAGACTGCATGCAAGTTTTCTCTATAGATATCTGGAATAAGATAATTCCTAAATAATTTATAGTCTGATATATTTTGTGGACAGTACTTTACTTTTTATTATACATTCTAGCTGGTTATTACTGATGTAGAGAAAGGCGACTGACTTTTAAAATTGATCTCTTACCTATAAGTTTTATAGTCTGATATATTTTGTGGACAGTACTTTACTTTTTATTATACATTCTAGCTGGTTATTACTGATGTAGAGAAAGGCGACTGACTTTTAAAATTGATCTCTTACCTACAAGTTTTGCTGAGTTCTAATTATTTACGAAAGTTTATTACTGACATGGCTGTAATGTGAAAATATTAGTAGTTCTATTGCTTCCCTACCTGCACTCAATTTCTTTTTCTTTCCAGGACTGCCTATACACTGGCAGTGAAATTGGACACACTTGTTTCTTATCTTACAGTGAACGCATCTAAAGTTTCTTCATCAAGTATAGTTTTTGCTGTTCAGTTCTGGTTTGCTCAGAGTTTTAAGCATATATAGGTATGGAAACTTACCAAAAGCCTCATCCAAAAATCTCATGGTTTTCTTTTAGTTTAATATATAGAGATTACACTGACAGAATTTTCTGATGTTGAGCCATCTTTGCATTACAGGATGAACACTAACTATTACAAATCTTTTTAACATACTCTTGGATTCAGTCAGTAAATACCTTGTATAGGACTTTGCATTTAGTTTGCTTGTAAGTGACATGAACTGATCATTTTCTTTAATTATCCTTATCTGGTTTTGGAATTAAGATTTCACTGCTTTCGGGGCCAGCCCGGTGGCGCACTGCTACAGTGTGCCACTTGGGAGCGCGGCGGCGCTCCCGCCAAGGGTTCGGATCCCACATACAGACCGGTTCCCGCTCACTGGCTGAGCGAGGTGCGGGCGCGACAGTGGGGGTTGCGATCCCGTTGCCGGACACGAAAAAAGACAAAAAGGAAAAAAAAAAAAAAAAAAAGATTTCACTGCTTTCATTAAACAATCTAGCTAGGGTTTTTTTCCCCCTTAAAAGATGACTGGTAAGGGGATCTTAACCCTTGACTTGGTGTTGTCAGCACCACGCTCAGCCAGTGGAGCGAACCGGCCATCCCTACATGGGATCCGACCCCGGGGCCTTGGTGTTATCAGCACCGCACTCTCCCGAGTGAGCCACGGGCCGGCCCAAGTCTGTAGATTTTTTTTTTTTTTTTTTTTTAAGACGACTGGCAAGGGGATCTTAACCCTTGACTTGGGGTTGTCAGCCCCACGCCCAGCCCGTGGGGCGAACCG